ATAACAATATACCGTTGTCATGGAAACGAAATTCCGATTCGCAATTCATTCCACTTATTTCATTTTATATATTTTATTTTTAACCAAATACTAAAATAAATAAGTGTTTTTTTTAATACTTAGCATATATTGTATACAATCTTTTTAAAGAAATTTTTTAGCAGAAAATAGGAAAGATTTATCTTAACATGAAAAATAAAGTTATTTGCAAAACTGCCCGAATATGATCTTTTAAGCGTCCTTGCGACGTTGCCGCTTTTACTAACTACCAGGTTCTTATTTATCGGTATCTTGAATTGTGAAACAAAAAAATCCTATATTTCCGTCACGTATTTTATCTGTTTGATTATTATCAGGCAATTTACGAGAATTTGGTAGTACTGCCCCTGAGGATGTTAGTGGTTATTTTTGTTATTTTTACATATTTCTTACAAGGAAATCGTAAAACATCAAGTTTACATAATTCATTCCTGGATGTAAAACTCTAAGTTATTGTGAGCAAACAAGACGCATAGAAAAACAATATTGATCTAGTCGTAGACAAAGCAAAAACAACACAAAGCACAATGTTATTGTTCTTGTTACTTCTACCACAAACGGCTCTAAAATATAATATAAGCAGGTTGTCTCTGTTGAGAGGCGATTTTTATTAATGAATCAATTACGTATTAAAATAGTGTTGGCTAGTTAACAAATCTTTATTAAGAACTGTCTTGTTCGTACTAAGTAATTTAATCAAGTAGCAAGTAACTTAGTAACCGAAATGTGTTTGAACAACGAAAATATAGTTGAGAACAAAGCAAAAATAAAGAAAATAATAATAACTTATAACTAGTATTAGTAACGTAGTACAAACTAGGCAAAAGGCTAATTCCACGTAAGTAGGTATATGTGTAGTAAACACGCACAATGTAGCTGGTATTAAATTTCTAATTTATTACTAACCGCATATGGTTTTTATAGTTTACTAGCTGTTCCCGTGCGACTTCATCCGCATAAAATTATGAAAGTTTTATTTTGTTGTTTACATGTGTCAAATTATCAATTGATAATGTCAAAATGACATGACATTATGACAAACCATGGCAACCTTGCTTCCTTGATGTTGGCAGCAACTTAGTCTCTTTCCCACATTAGGGTTTTTATCCAAAATATTTACCCCCTAAGTTTAATGTCGTGAAATATATAGCCTAAAGCGTGACGTAAGTGTAGGGATTTTAAATATAAAAAAAGTATTATTCCAAAATATGCTGTAGTTGCTGGCATCATAGGCAACAACGAAGTGTATGTTTACGCTTTATTATAATAGTAAAGAAGTGGAAGTTTTATGAAATGTTAGACTGTACAACACACACATTTGCATTATATATAATGATTTTTGAAACACAGCAGAAAATGCAGTAGCAGTTATTTTTTAACCACGTGTATGTATTTTACATGAATATATTTGTAGCACTCGGGATATGATTACATTTCAGTTTGTACACTTACATTAGCTTTACTGTTGCGATGTGAAACGGACGTCTTTTGATTTCATACCACTTTGCAATGTTAGCTTAAATTTAAACCTTGCATAGGGCTCACATATGAATAACAAATTATCTGTAAATTATGACTTAGAAGAAGGTAACTTCCTTTATTCGTGTTTTTTGCGCATAATCATTTAAGGTTTTTGAAATTTCGTTTCTTAATTTGTTATCTTTGTCCTCAGGTACTATCGGCACTAGATATCCTGCAGCCGCCCAGCCTCGACTTCTTCCAGGAAATGTATCCTTTTCATTTGAAAATAAGCTTCATTTATTGTTACTTTTAAAATGCCGTGTTAAGTAAGGTACAAGTTCGGTTTACCCGTCCGGTACATTGACCCGCCCGTGTGGGTTCCACGATAATGCAATTTTTGCGAAAATAATTTGTTTTTAACTACAACAATACTTCGTCCAGATTAAAAAAAATCAAGATTTAAAAACGGACTCCTTCAATTTGCCTTGCGATTTTTTCGTATTGTGCGAAAGTATTTATATTATTCGATTCACTGTCTATTTAGATATATTCCAAGTTATAGGTGCTGTTCAGCTTGAGTCTCGAAATGCTGACGATATATCGAGTGTAAAGATCAAAGGAAGTTCATTCTCTATATCTTGCTTTATTCGATTTGCGCGGCTGACTGCTAAATCGCTGAATTGCGATTTTAGACACGTTCTGTTGAACATTCTCAGTAAATATCAAAAGCACTTTTTGTTATGACGTTATTGAAAATGAGGTCGGCGGATCTTATCTATTCCCTAAAAAACTTATAAAGAAAATATTAGTTTCAAGGTTTAAAACCATTGATTACATAATAGAAAGTAATACTTCCTGCATCCTCATTTTGACTTTAAAATACACATCTGATAACAAATTTATCTAGCTACAGTATGTTTTATGGTTCCGATTGAAACTGAAAACAAACAATTTAAATCAAACGTTATCTCGATACTCGTATAGAAACATAAATTGAAACGGACGCGTAATAAAATCCCCAGGCCAAATACGGTAAAGGGGGGCGAAATTGATGTTACGGTGAGATACAATTTCACGCTGTCAAATCATTCGGGCGACCACCTCGCTCTAGCTGGGTGAATATTTTTCACCTGGTCTATCTTGGTGTTCAATTTCGTCATACTTCGACACTGCGATTTATCGCACCCGCTGTCTACAAACCTGCACATCGGTGCAGCATACCATACTCTAGTGTCTATATTAGTAAGGGCTCATTCTGAATTAGACTAAATCTTCTTTTGTCGAAAAGTTTAGTTTACTCGATACAGAATATTTTAATTTAAGAGTAAGTTAAATCAACCTTTATAAAAATCAATTGAGCTGTCCGAATCGACTACATGAAGGTTTGTTTCACGGCTATACCAATTTACAACTCCATGTATGGTATATTTCAGTTACGTTACCTGCTTCTTGACATTTAAGCTAATTGGAACTTGTATTTTTAGCCCTTGTATCAACTTGCATATTTCATCATTTACTATTCGTAATCAACAAACTATGTTAGTTCGTTTTATGTGTTTTACTACCACGAAAATCCACATTTTGTTACAAGTGATTTGAGATTTTAAGATTAACGCGTATTTCTAAATTTCTCGACCATCCGGCACCGCCTCGTCTCGCAATCTTCTTGACGACACACACTTAGCCGGTACGTCACGTTTCCTTAGAAAAGTTAAGCTTTTACGTACACCTTTTCAATTCGTTATAATTGTAAATAGCATCTAACTTCTGCACTCACCCATAAAAATAATTGCTACGTTTATTTTCAAAAGTGACTTCCATATTTGGATGTAACGAGTAAACAGTATACTGCAATTTGTAGATTGATGTTTTTATAAATGCACTTCGTTGCGTGTTTGTGTTTTCAAATCTTGAGACTGGAATATATAAGTTCTGATAAAAAAATATTGTAATAATTTCTTCTGTTCGTCTAGTAAGTTACTAATTATATCATCGTGACCCTAGTGCTATAGTTTTTTCACGTCGAAGAATATTAATGAAGCGTTCAATGATAAATGGTGGTCAAGGTGACCTCTGATATTCTCCATTTTTATTTTATCCCGAAAGTATAAACGGTTTTCTTCGGTATGTCGGCTTTGATCTTGTGACTCCTTTTGAATATTGAGGTGGTATTTTTGTACTTAGTACCGTTGCAATTAATGTTACATGTCTTTATTATGCATATTTTAATATCTGAGTTAGTGCTTTTTTAATCCAATTCATTAACTGGAAAACTGATCGTAAATACTTGACGCCATTGTGCGCGCGTTAAGCTCTTGTTTTTATTTTATTTTTAAGATTACATGGAAAATGTGAAAGAAAAACAAAAGAATGGTGTGATCTTTTTATAAGGAGGGATGAATGCCATGTAATTAGGAGGGAATGACATGAATGGGAGGATCTTAAGGATCTAGAGATTTGCATGTGAGATGATGTTGAAAATTTTACGGAAAAAACACTTGTTTCCGAAGTTCTTGTACACAATCTAATTGAATCACTAAATTTTAAACCATACACTACAGTTATGTATGTTTATTGGTTTCTGTGTATTTTATAATTAGTAAATGCATTAGGTAAGTGTTTCAGAAATGTAATTTATTACTTAAATTGACCGGTTTATTGATAAAGTGTTTATAGTTGTTAATTTACACGTTTATGTATATTGTTATTGTTAGTTATAAGCTGTGTAATTTATCTATTGTTTAATGTCTTTTTAATTAAAATCTTAACGACAAAAAAAGTTTTTCTGTCTGTACCTAAATTAATTAATGTCATGATCCCTCCTAATGGGTCCCTGTCAAAGGGCACGTCATCTGGCGCTGAAACACAATACGAGCCCCCTAGTTCATCAGCTCCCGTCTTTTGACCCTCGTCGCCCGCCCTAGGTCCCCCGCTCCCCGCCCTTCGCCCCTCACTCCCAGACCACCGTCCCTCGCCGTCGCCCAGACGGGCTGAACCCCTATTGAAAAGGTAGGTAGGTATTTATTGATATTGACTGGCTCTCGTTCCCTCACCGAGCGCCCTCTCCCGCATCCCCGGCGTCGACGCGGAGTTACACCCCTGTACAGTGTTCGACGGCCAGCGAGACGAAATTACGTGTATTTTGTTGCGGAGAGCGATTAAAATCAATTAATATTTATGTCTTTAGAGATTTCATGAAAAGTGTTTGCTGCTTAAAAACGCGAGATAGTAATTCAACTATGAATCCGTAGGTCCGAGTTACAGCGAAGTAATTAAAACAAATTGCGTCGTTACATCGTACGTCCTTTGTCGTCAATACGTCTACCAGGTAAGCGTTAAAAATCAATAACTTTCATGTCACGTTTTTATGTCTTTTGTGATTTTCAGCAAACCACTTCACATTGATTTTAGCACTGTACATTAATTTAATAGATAACAAACATGGATTTGTTGAATTTACATAAATGTTCAATTACGAACACTGCACGCCATTTTTTTATTCATGCGCAGTTTGTGTTGGTTTTTATACGTTTCTTTTAAAACATCGACGGTGATGGAACAGGTATTGTAAACATCGTTTATGTTAATTTTAAATCTTAACCTGGGTTTTGGATTTTTGTCATCTCTGTTTTTCTCGAATAGAATAAGAGACAGCAATGTTTTATACAGAGGTTTCGGCAATCGGAACACGCGGTTAAACAGATTGAGTGGCGATCAATTTGTACTCGCGACTCGTCGTCCCCGGTACCAACCAAATTTAATTGATTGCTCTCGACAAATAAGCGCCGCCATTTTGTATTTTACCCTCAGCCCTTCTTTGCTTTGCGCTCCGTTGAGGGTTATTTGCAACAATGTTGTTTAATTTTTAGGGGTTTTAAATTATATTGCGCGTTGCATTTATAATTATTATTTCTTAGATAAATAATTTTAGTTTTCGAAAATTATCCCTGTACTGTGGACTTAAATGTGATTATCAATTATTTTTACACTTATTTTTTTAAATCTCTCACATTTTATAGTGATCGTTTTATAGCGGTCGAGTATTGTATTTGTTTGTGTGTGTTTCTTCTTTTTTTTGTTTTGTGTTATTTCATTGTATATTTGATTTGACTGTGTAAAATATTAGCTGTGATTTAATTGTGTATTTGATATATCGTTAAAATACTGTTATTTTACATATAAAATGGGTATATAAATATGTTCATTATTATAATTAATTAATTAAAGCTTCATATTGTATTATCGCGAGTTTTCCTTTTTGTAATACATTTTTAAACTAAGGTTTGCATATTTGGATATAGTCAACGGTTTCAGAAGGTGTAGTCTAATTTTCTTCAAAATTCCTTGTCTCAGACAAAGATAAATTTTTCGTAAGGAGCTGTAAATTATGACAAGTCAAAGAGGAAGTCGTTTGGGTCGCAGCTGTCTTTTTGTTGCGTTTCGGAACAAAGAAGGAAAATTGCCGGTTGCCAAGTACTGCGGGGCGATGATTGAACTTGGTTCTGTCGCAACGCTTTTGTCGCGGAAATTTCAGGTTCCGCGCCCCACTCATTATAATCGTAGCTATTGTCGCCGTCGACGATATTTGGGTAACGCTCAGTAATCTTTTAACTACGCACGTTCTTTACGGTTTCTATGAAAATAAGATTTATCGAAATAAGGAAGCTGTTTTAACTTTTATTATAGCAATCACATTAAATATACGCATTGGCGTTTTTGCGAAATAAAAGATGAATATGTATTTTTTCATTTGAAGTAAAATCTTTGATGCAGTAATAAAGTTTAATTCATTTAGTAGCATCTCGCGATCGTGTAATTATTGATTTAACGCAATCTATTAACCATTTTTTAGATCTTGCAGGATTTTAGATTTTGTATTCTAAGATTCTTGAAACTTCACTGTTATGAGACGGTCTTGTAAAGCCAACATCGATCTTACAAGTATGAATATCTTCACGGAACTACTGGAACTGGGATAGGAAGGCCCACCGCTAACACTACCATTATAAGGATGGTTCGCTCTTTAACCGGCTCGCCAGGCTTCTATCCAAACATTAACATAACCTCCCTTTGTGCTTCCAAACAACGCTCTCGTGTTACTACTGGCTATGGTACCATTGTGATAGCACCCCGTACATGTCTTTTGTCTCGCTGCCAGTTCATTTTGTTCCATTACGGGTTTCTTTTGTTCCACTGCTGGTTTCCTTTGTTCCGTCTCTTCTTTGTGTGAGGGAGTCGTGCGCGTCGCATGCGCAACGTGCGCAGTG